CCTTTCCTGATGGTGAATGAGTAGAAAAAACCCAGACATATAAAACTGAAAACTAGGCCTTATCAGGGATAGTTAAGTTGTAAACAAAATACTAAAACATTAATTAGCATCCTTAGGAACATTAAGAGAATGGCAGTTTAAAGGATATATATGTTTGGTAAGTATTTGCATTCTATTCAGACTGCATACAGAGATATGTGAATAATCCCCTAATTTCACTGCAGTTAATTTGTACTTGTCTGAAAGAGTGTGGCTTACACAAAGTAAATAACGACATGGTGATGTGCGTAAGTTCTTAGGACAGGAGTGCATGGAGATTCAGATTTTGTATGAATCAGGACACTCAGTATTTCACAGAATATGCTTTGAGCTCTTACAACTTAAATATTACATGTTGAAGAATTTAATTTCTAAAAATCATTTTCTTGTTTTAAGACTTCCATGGCACATCTTTTTTCAGTTCAATTTAATGTGAAATTTTGCTTGTTTGATCATATTATAGATGAGCCTAATATATATAATCTTTAATAGGTAACGGTATAGATTTCTGTGGGTTGGATACTTTCTATTAGCAGTCACTCAAATTACTAGATTTAACATTGTCATTAGTGCTAATTATGATTCATTTTGCTACATGAGGAAACTGGAATAGAATACGATGAATCACGCCTTTACAATGACATGACATAGTCTGTTGGCAAAAAATACAGCATACAGTTTAAATTAGTTTAATTTTTATTCCTTATGCTAATCCTCAACATTTCAATCAACTTAATAGCAATAATTTTCGCTCAGCCCACCTATTTCCAAAAATAAATACTCAAAGCTATGTAATCCCATTTCCAGAAGCATTTATAGAATGTGAATGTAACCATGCTGGTCAGAAAGGGGCAGTTCCTTCTCTCATTTCACTTAACACATTTTATTTGCAAATTAAACACTGAAAATATGTCCTTTTTTACCACCACTTTATATTTTTGTATTCTGGTTCTGTTGTCTTGATTGCTGAGGTATTTTAAAGGAAAGAAAAAAGAAGTTAAGTTAGTGTACCGCGGCCCCATATCGAAAACATATTGCTATGCATTCAATTGCAATATTTCTCCTGAGGCCATAACACTATTTTCACCAAGAATAATGCTATGCAAAATAACAGGAAACATACTGTGAATAATGTCTTACATATGGAACCCTTGGTACTGTTAGTAAAACATTGGTTATGTGCATGCAAAATTAAATGGCCATGAGGAAGAGACGACATAATAGTTTGTGGATTTACGATGTATTAGCTAATAGCTTTTTTATTTTACTTTAAACACTAATATTTCTACTTTAAAAATATTTCTAAAATTATTGCATATATTCCTACTGTTACACATGGCAAAACAAAGCTGAAAGTACCTTTAAAAAAAACCCCAGCACTTAAGTGGAGTGAATGTGAGGGACAAACTAGCAAATAGCAAGTTGACAGTGATGCTAGACTTCACCTAGAGTAATTCCAAGACCTTGATAGGTCAAAATGGTTGATCTTTTTATTATCCTATCATAATGGGTTATCAATTTGGTTTGCCTCAAAAATGCAGGAACTTACCCTTCATCCTGATATTACTACTGTTGTGTCACAGTTTATTTAAGGTCACTGTCAAGATGCAATGACTCCTGCTCTCTGAATCCTCCCTCAGTAGCCCAAATTCTGGCTGAGGGGTCATCAAATACTAGATTTTTGGACACCGTAGCTCTTCCTAAACACTAGGTCTCTAAATGACAATGCAACAATCACTTCTGAAAGCATGAATAAATGTTGGTGCTTCCAAGGCTCATCATTGTGCCTTTTGGACAGAAATAACATAGCTCCATGGAATCCACAAGTTCCTTTCCCAAAGATCGAGCTAGCTGGGTGCATAAAACCTAACAACCTCTGTTTCAGAATTTCAGGAGAATTTTTGAAAGTGTTCTGGCAATTGAATACCCTAAGAGGCATGGGTTTATAGAGTCAGACAGTCATGTTTTGCATTGGAAGGGAACTTTAAAGATCATCTATGTAGTCCAATCCACTTGCTCTAGGCAGGGACATCTTTCACTAGATCAGGTGGCTTAAACTCCTAGAACACTTGATTTTAATAGGTCATCCATAAATTCCCTGGGAAACCTGTTCCAGTGTCTTACCACCCTCATCAGAAAAAGATTTCTTTCTTATCTAAACTGACCCTCTTTCAGCATAAAACCATTGCTCCTTGTCCTGTTACTACAGGCCCTGGTATAAAGTCTCCCTCTGTCTTTCTTATAAACCCTCTTTACATATTGAAGGGCCACAAAAAGGTATCTCTGGAGCCTTCTCTCCTTCAAGTTGAATAACTCCAACTCTCTCAGCCTATTTTCACAGAGGTATTTCAGCCCTCTGGTTGTTTTCAGCAACCTCCTCAGGACCCACTCTAACAGGTCCATGCTTTTCTTTTGTTGGGGTCCCCAGAACCGGATGCAGTACTCCAGGTGGGGTCTCATGAGAGATGGAAGAATAACATCTCTCAGCATGCTGACCATGGCTTTTTTGGTGCAGCCCAGGATATGTTTGGTTTTCTGGGCTGCAAGTGCACATGGTCAGCTAAGTCCAATTTTTCATCCACCAATATCACCAAGTACTTCTCTGTGGCGCTGCTGTCAATCAATTAAAACCTCAGACTGTACTGATGTTGGGGACTGCCCTGATGCCGGTGCAGGACATTACTGCTATAGCCTGGCAAGGTCCCTTTGGATGGCATCCGTTCCCTCAAGTGTATCAACTGCACCATTCAGCTTGGTGTCATCTGCAAACGTCTGTCATCTGTTATTGATGAAGACATTAAATAGCGTTAGTCCTGGAGGAACACCACTCATTTCTGTTTCCATTTGGATATTGAGCCATTGTCTGTAGTTCTTTGGATGTGACCAGGCATATCTCTCCAATTTAGCAGCAAGAGTGTTGATGGAGACTCTATTAAAGGCCTGACAGGAGTCCAGATAGATGACATCTGTAGCTCTTATCTTGTCCACTGAGCCACTGCATATTAGAAGGTCACCACATTAGTCTGGCACACAGTGCCTTTTGTGTAGCCATGTTGTCTGTCTCTAATCACCTCTGTCACTCATATGTTTTGACATACCTTTCAGGAGCGTTCCGTGTTCTTACCAGGCATAGAGGTAAGGCTGACTGGTTGCTTAGCCAGGTCCACCTTTTTACCCCTTCTAAAAATAGGTGTGATGTTCCCCTTTTCTCCAGTGACTTTGGACTTTGCCTGACTGCCAGGTTTTTTCTGTATGGTGAAGAGTGGCTTGGCAACCACATCAGCCAAACCCCACCGAGTAATTTAGTTCACCACTTAGGAAACACTGACCATTATCACAAAGTCTCTTCACACTTTCTAGACACCTACATTTCTGATACGTGAGCCGCAGTTGCATGTGATTACCTTTCAGTAAGGGTTTTAGTATGAATAACTAAACTATATCTAGACAAAATATAATCAGAAAGCTATATTGTGTTGACTGTCATATCAGACTGATACTCGTTATTTCTCCTAGGTTCATTTCTCATCAGTCACACTAAAATGATTGCACAAAGTCACAGGTTTGTTCTTTATTGCTAAAATCAAAACAGCTATTTTCTTGAGATATCATAACACTTTCTTGCAAAACCAGTGTCATCTCTTCTGAAAATATCATTCTGAAAAAGCTCACAGGTCTGCTCCCTTAAGGATGCACTTTGTAAGTTTTACACCTTCTGCACATTCTTTAACCATATTGGTCAATGCCTTAGGCATGACTCTTACTGGTTGCAGAAATAGCTTCTGAAAATCTTACATCAACTTACCGTAACATCACCACAATTACACTGTTATTAAAATTTAATACACAATCATTGATAAGAAGAATTTTTAACAGATAATCCAAATGTTCTAACTTAAGAAATATTGTCTTCTGTCTTCCTTTTGCCTTTTTTTTCTTCTTGCACAAACAAATAAGGTCACAATAACCTTTTAGTATTGAGGGTGACTTCTATATTTAAATACATGAATAACTCCATCCAGTTTTGTCAACAAAACTTCTTAGACATAAATGTTCCTTCCTTGCATTTCTGTAGAGCCCAAACCTCGAGAAGTTAAATAACTGCCTTAGAAATAAATTCGTTCGAGGTAGATTCTGGAAGCATCCTTGGTTTTGCACCTTTTTATTGTAAATCACATGGTGTTTACTGGTACTGTGAAACCTCAAATACATGAGGTTACTTGTCAAAGAAGAGGTCATTCTTAAAGTGGAAAGACAGAGCACTAAATGCACAAGTCACAAAAATATTACTCACAAAATGCTCACAACGTTCAAGAGAACAGAGTGAGAAGAGAAAACAAGATACTTATTCCTCAATCTAGTGTTATAATTACAGTCTTTTATCAAAAAGCACAAAGCCAGAATGTTCAGAAGTAAATCCAAAAGGGGTCTGTTTCACTCGAGTTTTGTGTGAAAAGACTAGGACCCTAGGAACATTTGCAGAATATTTGGTTGTATAGATAGAGCACTTAATTTTCAAATAGTCTTCTGCAGTGGGTTTCTGTGGCTGGGTTTTGGTAGTGATGGAGGCTTCAGGGTTGGCTTCTGTTACAAGTTGCCAGAAGCTCCCCTGTCTAGTGGAGCCAACGTCAGCCGGCTATAGAACAGACTTCCTGCCGCTGGCCAAGGCTGAGCCAATTAGGAGTAATAGTAATGCCTCTGTGATAACATATTAAAGAACAGAAAGGTATTGTGCAGTGAAGAATTCCAACCAGGGAAGAGCAGAGTGAGAACATGGGAACAACAATGCAGACACCAAGCTCAGTGCAGAAGGAGGGGTAGGAGGTGCTCCAGGCACCAAAGCTGAGGCTCCTGCAGCCCATGGTGCAGACCATGGTGTAGCAGCTCTGCCCCTGCAGCCCATAGAGGACCACAGGAATGCAGAGACCCATCTGCAGCCCATGGAGGAGCCCCTGCTGGAGCAGGTGGATGCATGAAGGAGGCTGTGACCCTGTGGGAGGCCCAAGATAGAGCAGGGTCTTGCCAGGGATCTACAGCCTGTGGAGAGAGGAGCCCACACTGGAGCAGGCTTTTCCCAGGTAGAACTTGTGGCCCCTGTGGGTGATCCACGCCAGTACAGCTCATTCACAAAGGACTGCACCCCATGGAGAAGTGACCCACGGGACAGCAGTTTGGGAAGAACTGTTGCCCGTGGGATGGACTCAGGCCAGAGAGGTCCATAAAGGATTGTCTCCCGTGGGAGGGACCCCACGGGAGCAGCAGAAGGACTCCTCTCTCTGAGCAGCGGCAGAAACAACAACTGACTGTAACCCCCATTCCCCATCTCCCTGCAATGCTGGGGGGGAGGAGGAAGAACATGGAAGGAAGGAGGGGTGGGGGGAAGGTGTTTTTAAGATTATTTTGCTTCTCATTCTTTTGCTCTGATCCTGTTAGTAATAAATTCAAGTACTATCCCCACTTTGAGTCTGTTTTGCCCATAATAGACCTCTCCCAGCTCTTACCTCAGCTCATGAATCCTTTGTTGTTTTTTTTTATCTCCTCTGTCCATTTACAGGAGAGAGTGAGAGAGCAGCTTTAGTGGGTACCTGGCATCCATCTGGAGTCAACCCACTACATCTTCAGACTAGCCTTTCACGTTTCTAGTTATGTGAAAGATGATAACAAATAGTCAACTCTATGTGAAGTCAAAATTATTTGTAACTGCCATTTAATTATCAAAGCATAATCTCATAAAACACCAGTTCTCTCCATTGTCCTTGATTTTAAAATCCCTCATTTTACATATAATAGATTGTGGACTCATATGTGCCATGTACACGTTATGTGTAGACTAAGGAGTTCCGATACGGAGACACAGTACAAAGGCTTTTCAGCCTGGGCTTGGATCACTACCTTTACAAGAACAATGGTGCAGTGGTGAGGTCTGGAGGTCATCACAGAATGCTATTATGACCCTCTCATGCCCTTTTTCTCTCATGTTCTATGCATGGTGCAATATGGGCACTGATCACCAAGAATGGTAATGACCAGGATGAGGTTTTAACACTTCCCCTCTGAAGGATTTCATCCCACACTTGTAATGATGCTATGAATAATCTCTGGAAGAGTCCTGGTTTTGACTGGGATGGAGTTAATTTTCTTTTTAGTAGCTAGTACAGTGCTGTGGTTTTTAGATCCAGTTTGAGAATAATATTGATAACACATTGATGTTTCAACTCCTGCTGAGTGGTTCTTACCCTGTTAAAGACTTTCAGTGTCTCATGATCTGCCAGTGAGGAGCTGCACAAAAACCTATGAGGTAGCACGTCCAGGAAAACTGACGCAAACTAGCCAAAGGGATATTCCATACGATTGAAATTTATACATTCCTAGTGTATAAACTGGGGGAGTTTCCCTGAAGGGGTGGCCAGTTGCAGTTTGGGGATGGGATGTGTATTGGTCAGTGGGTTGTGAGCAGTTGTACTGTGCATTACTTGTTTTCCTTAGGTTCTGTTACTCTCTCCTTATAATTACAAGTTGTCATTATTATTATTATGCTTATTATTATATTTTTATTATTATTTTGTTTAAATTTTTTAATTGGTTTTGTCTCAACCCACAAGGTTTGTCTTTATAGTCTTCCTATCCACATGGGGAAAGGTGGCAGGGAGTAAGCAAGCTGCTACATGGCACTTAGTTGCTGATTGAGGTTAAACCATAACAGGGAGTTGGCTCTGAAACAGGATGTATTTGGATATCAAAGAGGTAAAGCTGCAAAGATTGACCATTTTACTTAATATTTTAATGAAGAAAAAAGCACAGCTGTGATACAGGAATCCATCTTGTGTTTTTGACAAATCTGATCTCAGGTCAATGTTGCAGTCACCAGGACATGAGGGAAAAGGAAGGGTAGATATCTGCCTCTTCTTTGTTTCACTAAGTACTTTAAATATTGGGCTACATCATTACTCTTCTGTCTTTGTCCCAATAAATATTTTATTTTGTTATGCAAAATCCAACAATGTAATAAGAGGCCCAATTGGGGCTCTTAACCGGTCTGGCAAAAAGAGACACTCTCACCTGGTTTCTCTTTCCTCCTCTCAGTGAAATTGGTAGGAGAAAATAGGAAAAAATGGAATAAGAAAGCTCATGAGTAGAGACAAAGATAGGGAGATAACTTACCAAACACCATTATGGGCAAATCAGACTCGATCTGGGGAAAACTAATTTATTGCCAATTAAAATAAATTTGTGTGGTGAGTAATAACAACAGAAAACAAATATGAAACCCATATATCTACTTCTGCTTTCCCAACCTCAACTTTTCCAAACTCCTCTGTCTTACACTAAGTGGCACATGGGGAGTAGGGAATGGGGACTTGCAGTCAGTCCATAATATCTCTACTGCTCCGTTGTTTTCACTTTTCCTGTGCTCATCATGGGCTCTCCATGAGCAGCAGTTCTTCAGAAATTAGCACCTACTCTGGTGTGGGATTCTCCACGGGCCGTAGCATTTATATCTACTCCACTATGAAACTCCCTTTTCTTCTCCTCTTCTCACTTTAGTGTTCCCTTTGCTGTTTCTCACTCTTTTTTTCCTCTACTTTTTTACCTTTATGGCATTTTTGCCCTTATTTAGGTATGTATTCTCAAAGGTATCATCTTCTTGGCTCATTGGTTTAGCTGTGCCCTGTGGTGGGTGGATTGGAGCTGGCTGAAGGTCGAGCACAGAAGAACCCTGGAGTCTTGTCACAGAGGCCACCCCTGAACCCCCCTGCTGCAAACACCCTGACACCAATACCCAACAAAAATATCAATTCAAGTCCCCGCAGACAGAATAGGAATGCATACACTAAGATACTACTGAATAAAATGGAGATAAGGAAAGGTTAAACGGGGAAATGTTCAAGACTGTGAATTTTCATTGAGAAAAGATTTTCCTAAATCAATTACTAAGAGGTTACACATTATGTACTCTCTTTTATGAGTGTTTCCCACCTGCAGGTACGTATTTTTTCCAATGCACTCAGCATGCTAGATCCACATAAATCACATAAACTTTAAAGTATATATGATCCTGACACTGGAAACAGACTTATAAGGAGAACATTAATGTGCAAATTTCAAGCATACCTGATTGCAAGCTATTAGTCTGGAGAATTTTAAAATTTCTTTGGAGAGCTTCTGATTTCTGGCAGGCTGGAAGGCAATGCAGCTGCATCCTGCCCCTCTGCAGACTTTCTGAATAAGCCTCTCAGTATTTACTGTGTAGAAGACACATCCTTAATGCCATGTCCCAGGCTTCACTAGTGATGCTCATGCAGCAAGGTGGAGGGAGGCTGACAGTGTTGCTTGCCCAGGCAGGTTTGCTTTTTCTTTGCCCTCTGACATGACAACCTCTCCTTCTGCTTTGTTCAAGGTGGGATCTCGTTCCTTGCTCTTAGAAGTCTGGTCCTCCAAGTTCACCCAGCAGGGATGTGACTGCAGCAGCACAACTCTGCTTCCACACAGGGCTTTGATGACCTTGAAACCTCCTCTCTTTTCCATACTGTTAATGTGTTTCCTTTCCTCAGATTTCAACTAGAAAATCAAAGCAGTATCTTTTCCCAGTCAGTGTTAGGATCCTGTTCTGCTTTGAATTCACATATTCTTTCAAACTTAACAGGTCGCTATAATTTCAAGATTCTTGCCATATTTTATGGATGATGTATAGCAAAAATATTCCATGCATGGATATCTCAACTAATTTAAAAATTATATCCTGGTTTTCTTTCCTCAGAGAGGCTAAACATGATACTAAAAATACACTACAGATATGACAATCATGTTTATTTCAGTCTTGCCACCTCTTTTACCACCTTTCTGAATATTAAAAAGTTTCTCATGTACAGACATACATGGGTGCTTACAGTCCTACTTATACTTTTTATCTTGTTATTTATGATTGTTGATCAAAATATAGCTTTACCCATAGATTTTACATAACTTTCTTTGTAAAGTTGGAAGCTACATTCTAAACTGTTCTTAAAAGGATATTGTCTTTGTACTAAAGCAAAGAGGGCCTAATTTGGAGAAACGGGTGTGTATTTCTTCTGTGCTGGGACTAAAAGAGCTGCTAACTTATTCAAGAAAGAGTGTGTCTGAAAGAAGACATGACTATTCTTTTTAAGGTACAAAACTGTGGTGAAAGGATCAATTTCTGTTAAGAGATAATGCACCCATAATAACAAAAGCGGTACAACCTTGTCAAGATTATATATATTCTATAAATTATTACTTTTCTAGCTTCTAGAAAAATGGTATCTAACATTAGGATCCATAGGGTTGAGTGTCACCATTGCTTTTAGAATAGTGCCTGACAAGTCTGACGTGGTAGTAATGGGGCAATAATACCATGGATCAAGGCAATGGGAGTAAATTTCAGTAAAGACCAGGGTAGGTTGGCCTCTTAGTCAAAATGCCCTATATCAGAAAGAATTGATCCTAAAATGAAATCAACCTATGGTCAGTAAAAGTGTAGCTTGACTGATAAAAAAGTGTAGCCTTAAAAAAAAAAAAGGGGTACATCCATTGGTATTTGTTGATAAAATAATAGAGATTAGAAAAGGAGTATTGATGTCCTAATTACACTAGAAACTTGTCCTGAGCAGGTCTCCATGTGTGTGGGGAAGCATTTCTAACATGTGTTAAATTTCATATTCTTATGAGGACTCATAACTAGAATCCACCTGGGAAAGATATGTGTTGTCTAGGATGACTGGCAATGATAGACACCCACTGCTTGTGAAGGACTAGATTTGACCTACTACCTACCTACCTTCCAGGCCTTGGACTGGGTCTCCCAGATAAGGATGAATTACAGCCAATGTCAGTACCAGGTTCGTGAAACATGCCAGATAGACAAGAAAGAGTTTTCTGTGTATTCACAGAACAATGACATGATGGACAACTGCAACCTCTAAATAGAATGCAGCACTGCCCTAAAGTGACTGTCTCTGGGGACAGGAGGCTGTCTCGCCTTCTTGTCTATTCAGCAATGGGTTTGGCATGCTCTTATTGCAGTAAATTAACATTTTC